GACAGCCGCTATGCATTTGGCGTTGTGCATGACTTTGGCACATTGTGGAGACAAAGAGGATCTGGATCTGCTGATGGAAAACCGATTGCTAATTCTGATCTTGTGCAAAGACTTTTGCAGGCTATACAGCTGCCATCGGCCATTGCAGTTGTGAAAACGAAAGGACACAGTACAGCTGACACAGACAAAGCAACAGGTAATGCCCTAGCAGACGTGACAGCCAAGGCTGCAGCTGCATCACAGCTCCCACCTCCACAGGAAGTATTATCTGTGCCCGTACAGCTGCCACTTGTTACACTCCCAGACTATTTAGACACAAATGTTGATTTAAAATTCATACAAGAGCAAGCCTCTGCATGTGATTACACCTATTGGGAGAATAATGACTGTACCTTAGATGACAAGGATGGCCTATACAAAATCTTGAGGGTTTGATTGCCCTCCCATATTCCCTGATGCCAGTCCTTGTCCGACATTTTCACTGTGAGTCATGTCGGACAAAGAGGGGTAATAGGGGCAATAAAATCAAGATCAAGATTTGTAAAATCAAGATTTATTTGTAAAATCAAGATTTGTAATTGAGAAAACATTGCATGCAGTAAAAAGCATATTAGCAACCTGTCTAACATGTGCACGAACTAATGTAGGAAAACCAAAAGCGAAACATCAGCATTTACCACAACCAGATTTTCCATTTCATACATTACAAATTGATTTTACACACATGCCAGCGCAAGGAAGCATCAAGTACTTACTGGTAATAGTGGATCAATTTAGTAAATGGGTAGAAGCTTATCCAACCTCAAAAGAAACTGCAGAAGTAGTCTATCAAAAGTTGAGCAATGAAATAATACCCAGATTCGGAATACCTCACCAAAAATTAACAGTGATAGAGGACCTTCATTCACATCAGAAGTAATTCAAAAGTGTGCCAAAACTTTAATGACCTGGATCAAATTACTTCCTCAAGTCCTCTGTGAGATTAGAATGACTCCATCTGCAGTAACCAAATTATCTCCATTTGAAATAAGATCGTTTCCAACACCATGGTCAGCTTCCAGAGGGGCACCGCTATTAGAAGGTGATGTAGATATTGCATTATCCGACTATGTCTACAATCTGGTAGAAACACTGAATAATAACTATCAGAAAGTTTGTCTCTCCCAGCCTCTCCCCTCCACAGTTCCACCAGTGGAGACCAGGAGATGCGGTGTTGGAGAAGTCACTAAAACCAAGGACACTCTGGGAGGCCGCGCGTTTTCCAGCCCCCAGGCTGTACTGGCAGTGACGAAGAACCAGCATCCTCACAGACGGACAACCTCAGTGGATTCATGCCAGCAGGGTTAAGACCAGCCCAATCGGACCATCTCAGGCGTCGGATCAAGCAGACGACATCTCCGGCGAGCCAGCGCCCGGATCCAATGTACATACACACACGCAATTACTGATTAACACACAACGCCTGAAAGAGCCAAGACTCAGAGCTCTTTGATCCTTCACGTGTACAAGAACAAGGTACTCAACATCCAGCAGGAACAGAAAGCCGAGAGTACCACATGATGTCTAATCTGATAAAGCTAGACTCATTTCATCCTGATAATGGAGAAAATGAAATGCCCATTGTCATCATACGACGCTTATTCAATGTCTCTCGAACCTAGGACCAGGCCAGGAGACGACTGAAGAACTGTGTTTTTTCTTATATATTTTCTTATATATTTAGGTTATTTATCATATCTATCGCATTAACTTTAGGATTTTTCTTTGCTATTTTGTTACGTTCCCTAAAATTAGTAAATGGCAACATAGACGCCACTAATAAACCATTTTATGCACCCCCGAGAGCAGGAGCTAACGCCTGGTATGAAAATGCCAGAATAGCCGCTCGTGACTTAGGAAACAGTAACTGTTATGTCTGTTCAAAAGGTAACCCAGAACAGGTTATAGTAGGATACCCCATATCCGGTTTCCCCCTCACTGAGGGACTAGAGAAAATCGGCGGAGATAATGCTCTCCTTAAAGACACTTTACAGTTGACTCTGAGCCCTCTCGACTGCCTACTTAGACACACACACACACCAACTAACCCTGAGACTCCATTAGGCGAATTATTGAAGTTATCTAATGACACCGCAGGGACCTGCGCCCCAATGAAACGCCCTAAGAATAGGTTAAAACCCTCACTGCCCTTAGGACAGATCCCTCTCCATTTTAACACTAGTATGATATGTCTGCGCAGACTAAAGTTAACTGGCCCAGACACCCATATAGATTATACAAAGGATAACTATACATTTTTCTCTGACTCCCCAGGTGCACGCTGTAATGAGACATGGCTAGCTGTCTCTGTGGCTGAAGTTTTATCATATCTGGAGGAACATACACACAGTTCAAGTTCGAGCGGAGAATCGATCATTGTTCCCCCAGAGGGTGTATTAAATGATACTGACTGGGGGGAGTTAGTTAAATCACACATGGTCACGCGCCTAACTAGAGCTATCCCTAACGGTTATTGCTTGTGCAACAATACTCTTAGACTAGCTTTACCTGTTAATTGGACCGGTACCTGTGGTCTAGTAACCGTTGATGTATGCTGTACTTTCATTCCCAATAATACCGCCCCTAATGGTTCATTCACACAAGCTATGAATAGACTTGAAGCATTGCAGATAGAACTAATTGCCAATACAGGCCACGGTCAGTGGCTAGATAAGTGGCTACAGGACATGTTTGGAAAATGGAAGGAACTAATTGTAGCCTTTGTAACCTTGCAGCATGTTTTTGATGATTATTGTCTGTTGTGTGATACCATGTATACGCTCTCAGGATTTTTTAATATTAAGCTTGCTCGAAGGACCAGTTACATTTATGATTTGTTTTAAGTTTATGATTTGTCTTTATATTATGTTATTACATTCTGTCTTTATACTATGTTATCATTTCATGATAAAAGGGGGGAACTGTTGTGATATTTTGATACCATGGTAGCATTTACAGGATATTGTTTTGTAGTGATATTATACAGGAAAACTGTTACTCAATAAGGCCCATTTACTAGTTGTTTTTCTCTTTCTCTGTGACCCAAGAATTAATGTGTAAGACTCACAGGCTGGTACCTCAAGGTCGAAAACACCACAGAGACGAGACCACTTCCTTACTCCCATCCTCCCTTCTTTATCTCCTAGAAAAGAGCTTGTTAAAGGCCAGGTGGTTTGTTTCAGAATTCACTAATGAAAGAACTCTGTATTCTATGTCTAGGAGTGTATTTTGCTGGGATGATCATAAATTGTAACTGAAGAGATAAACTACACAAAGGATACTTCTTTGCTCACAAGGCAGGAAGACGTTTCCTTATTTGGTCTGTACCGGTTTGAACTGAGAACCTGCTGACACACTAACCTTTTTTTCCTCTATATAAGCTGTTTTGTACTAAATAAACCTTTGAGTTGGTTTGGGAAGGCAACCTGAAGCAGTCTGTGTTTCCTTGTTCTCCCAAGCTACTCCCGGCGCTGTAACTAACCCGCTGAACGGCATACCTGAGTGTTACTTTGAATAATTAGGAATCTTATAAGGAAAGGACAAAACTCTGCTTATCGGTGCTCACGCCTTGGAGGGAAACCGGGACGGAGATTTTCTCTTCACACAGAGAAAGCAAAAGCCAGATATGGAGATGACTTTAACACACATTTCTACACTCCTCTCTGTGTGCGTGACTTCCTAATCACAACGGTTTCTAACAACATCCTGGTAGTCTCCCCCACACCCAATGTATGGTTTACCATAGATAACAAAGTGAAGCCATACAAAGGGCAGGAAGCTTACCAAACATCAAACAGACCTTCACAAGGATGTGCTTGTGATAAAACACTACAGCCACTCAGAACCTCGAGAATCTGGGGAGGGGGACAAAAGAATTCCTTTCATCACAGAGTTAAAACAATGTAGAGATGGTAAGCATAAAAATGACAAACATTTAACAATTCACTTTAACAGATAGACTTTAAAGTTCTGATGCTGGTCTATAAAGCTCTGAATGGTTTAGGACCAAAATACATCAATGACCTCCTGACCCAGTATGAACCTTCCAGATCCTTCAGGTCATCTGGATCCGGTTTTTTATCAGTTCCCAGATTCAGAACCATAAAGCTGCATTCAGCCTTTATGCTCCATATATCTGGAACAAACTCCCAGAAAGCCTCATATCAGCTGAAACACTCAGTTTATTCAAATCCAGGTTGAAGACTCACCTGTTCTCGGCTGCATTTGAATAAAACATCAAATCCACTCTTTTAAGCTTAAATTTCAAAACTTACATTTTAACTACTGATTTTATCTACTGTTTTTTAATCAATTCTAATCATGCTTTTTATTTGTTTTAGTTTTTAATGTCTCTGTAAAGCACTTTGAATCACCTTGTTGTTGAATTGTGCTATATAAGTAAACTTGCCTTGCCTTACCATTTATCTTTTATTGATCTACTTTATTTGTACTACAACTACCAAGTTTTATGCAAAGCTTAAAAACATGGGCTGCTTTGTTTGCTCCTCCTGAGTGGAACATTAGCAACTAATGAACTATTACTTTATCCAAAAAAATAGAAAAAGAGATTTGGAGAATTGAAGTGCCCAATGTTATATTAAGGCTTTGACACTGATGGTGGTCGTCAGCCATGGATGGTTATTGTGAATATGGTTTTTGATGAGAACCTTTGCTGTGAATCTCATGGAAATAGTACAGAAAAAAGAAAATGGGGAAGTAAAGAATCATGATACCAATTCATGATACCAAAATCCCCATAAAGGTGATGAAGGTGTTTATTTAAAATGTCATAATTTTACACTGTTAGAAAAACGTAACTTATGTGGGATTTGCACTTTTTTTTGTTTTCTTACAGGTGGTAAATCTTCAGAAATCTCTTTGATTTGACAGCTAACATTGCATTTAGATTGTCATTATATTATATTATTCTTATTATCAGGATATATGTGTGATACATGTACCTTGTGTCCTGCATCTTGCAGTAACTTGGCAGCTGTCAACCCAGCCATTCCAGCTCCAACAATAACAACATGATGAGATGTATTTATGTGTGGAAGACCAGCCTTTGCTGTCAGCAGCAGTTCATTATAGTCTTTGTCCTCCAGACAATCAGCCAGATGTTCCTTCAGCCTGGCAGCTGCTGTGTGACTGTGGTACACAGTGAACAGTAACACAGTGACAGCACCTGGAAACACAGTGAAAGGTCAAATATTTGTTCCTTCTTTTAAAACAAGAAGAAAGAAATTTTTTAAGCAACAGACAAAATTGCTAAATACTATCGAATCAAAGTCTAGTTGAGTAACTATTTGATTGCATCACAGACATTGTCTCATTATGTCAGTAGGCTAGAATAACCATTTTTTTAACCCCAAAAGAATGGGTAAGGTTCCTCCTGTCACAGTGTCACATGTGTTTTATGGAAAGTCCAGAAAATGACTTCTGCTGAAGTAAGAATGGAGTGATTAATGTGAATGAAACCCAGAAAAAAACAGAAGTAGAATACTTTTCAATCATTGCCGCAGACAGGAATGTGTTTGAGGAACTGAAGAAGGGAATGTGCACGTTCAGCAGATTGAGTATTGTACTTTCCAACATATTTACTTTACAAGACAGATACCGGGATTCACAACTGCCTAACAGAACAGGTTTCTTGCTGTTGAGCAGCCACAGCCTCAGTCAGGTAAGCGATCGCAATGAATTCAAATGAAATGAAGCAATAAAGGAAAAAAATATGAGGTTAATTTAGTACTCACCTAAGTTCCATTGGACTTTATCCATCTTAGTTATTGTTGCTATGTTCTTACGCTATTTGAAAAGACAGAAGAGGAAGAGAAAAACACAATGAAAGCTTGTAGCACTACTTTCAGTCTTGGAAAGTACTGAGTTCTCTTTCAAATGAAATAAATCATTCCCCCACCTAATCCCCTGCTTTCCCTTGAAACAATGCATAATAGCTTCAATATCTGAATTTGATTTAAACAAATGTCATCTATCTATTTATCTGTCACAGTCCTCAAGTGTGTCGCGACAATTTTCCTCCCACCACTTTGTTTTCTCTCGCTCTTCCTTTTCATCAGTGTGCTTGCTGCTGTGTGTGGGTGTGTCTACATACCTTACAGGGGCAGGATCCTGCTGGGATATCAGCCCTATCCTGGATGCACCTGGTTCAGTCAAGCACTTGTGCTCTAACTGCGGAGTGTGCGTCACTTGGTGGAGATGAGAGATTCTTTTCAGGAGAAGCAGAGGACTCTGATTCATGGGACCTCCCTTCTGTTGAATTTCTAAATAATGGACTTTTTAACTAACAACCTCAGAAAGATTTTGTAAATAGCACATCACACTTACACTGTAAATAAACTCACTAAACTAAACTTGCATCTTTGAGTCATGAATTTGAGTCAGATGATCCATGACTCTATGTATCAAGTAAGTATACTAAATTCTTACCTGTTAGGAGCATAAACATTACATGCACAGTTGGAGTCACTTGAGGTGAACAAGCATCTTATGCAGTGTTGGTCAAGTTACTTGAAAGAAGTAGTCAGTAACTAATTACTGATTACTTCCCCAAAAAAGTAATCCCGTTACTTTACTGATTACTTATTTTCAAAATTAATTAATTACTTAGTTACTTAGTTACTTTTTAAAAACACGATTTACAACATGAACAGGTGATAAAGTGATAGATCTCTCAGCCCAATTCTACTTTTTCTACATAACCCATCATACAAAATGTAATCAAATGGAAAAGTCTCTTTTTTTAACTTGTTTTATCAGTTTTAATCTTTTAACTTTATGCATCAAGCAAAAATTTAATTATATGCAACATTCTCTGACTTGAATAAATTAGCTTAACATTTAAACCTATTTTCTGCACATTCCAGCACAAAAATTAAAATATTTTTTGTGTTTACACTCACTCTTTCAAATAGATGCAAGTAAAACACAGCAAAAAATAAATAAAGTCAAAGACTAGCGGTCCTTTTGCTCTATTTTCACCTGTAAAGCAGGACTAGGGTAGGCGGAGGTTTACCCTGGTGCAGGTGTGCCGCGGTCAGTTGAAGAATCCACGAGTGTCTCTGTGAGTTTCCCATTACATCGTTGCGCACTCGGTGCTTGCTTGGAAGTTTAGGGTTTTTTTTCGCTGTAAAAAGAAGTTTTCTTCCCACGCACGATGGACGCTAATGTTTTTGTCACTTTTTATGGAATCAAACTCAAAGTAAGGTCAGTACTTCCACGCTTTAAACGCTGCACGCTCATACTCTCTCCTACACTCAATATGTGATCCATTGTTGATCTGCACACAGCTGTTGTCACTAATGGCGCACTCGCTTACGTCACTGTCGTGAGACATTCTCTCAAAAAATCACGGTTTTAGTAACGCAGTAACGCAGCGTTCCTACGGGAAAGTAACGGTAATCTAATTACCGTTTTTGCAATAGTAATCCCTTATTTTACTCATTATTTGAAAAAAGTAATCAGATTACAGTAACGTGTTACAAGTAACCCGTTACTGCCCATCTCTAATCTTATGTGCTTTCATTTATCTGGAAACGTTTACCTCTTTGATTGCATCCAGACACGAATCAGTTGGGCTTGACAAACTGGTTAGATCAAGTCATCGAGAAAACAATCATCCATCATGTCAACGGTCATTTAAAGTCAAAAGAACTGTGTCACAAATGGAGTGAAAGTAAAGCAAACCTATATTTCTTTGATTGTTTAATCCAGGATTTTATGTGCTATATGCTTGTCATTCACTGTGTCACATGTGCTGTGGTTTCCAGATGAAGGCATGACAAGTATATTTTTATATATCTTTATTTCTGCGCCATTTTGTAATTTCCAGTCGAATTTTCAAATTTTCTTTCATGGTGAGATTTGAAGGCAAACTTACAAAATAAATTTTTAAAAAAATATATAACCCAAATAAAAAAAATAGAAAATAGAAACTGCTCCACAAAAAAGGGCATCAGGTTGCAATAAAAAGTAGAGGATGCATAAAACAGAGGACTAAACTTTATTACCATACGAAAAAGGCATTTGGTTAATGCAGGACACATTACCTACTTACTATATTAATAAACAAGACTAAATAGTGGGTGTGTTTCACCTGAACTTTGATATAAAGCTTATAAGGTTCAAGGTTCAAGGTTCTTTATTTGTCACATGCATAGTTAAACGAGTATAACACACAGTGAAATGTAGCCTGAAAAATTAGCCAAAACTAATTGGCCAAAACTGGTTGCAATCCACAGTTGTTTCATTCGGGCAGTGTGCTTATTGAAATTTATGTCCTGAACTCCACTCCATTCCTCAATCATGCACCAACACCAAAATGTATTTTAGCTGATGGAGGACATGTTTTTTTTAAATCTCAAACAAAAGTTAGCCTCTACAGTGTGGTGGTGTAAGCACTTTTATGTTCTTACATCGTACATGTACCAAATACATACCAGATGATCTTACTTTCCGAACCTACTAACTGTGACAACAGTGCTTTCTGAGCTGTGTTAGCTCTCGAACACACACGGTATGGGTGAAAATAAAAATGGGTTCTTTACCTCTGAATCAGTCCTGGCCCTCTAAAAGCTCAATCAGGAGAAATATTAGCAGTCACACTTTGCAGGTATTGCACAGGGAACAAAGATTAGAAGTGTCACATCTCATTATTAACTCCTCAAGTGAGTACATAATGCAGATGAACTGTTATGATCAGTAGGAGAGTGATTTAATGGAAAAACAACTAGGCAAAAGTCACTAATAATAAATTTTGATAACATATACTGTGCTAACCTGGGATAGTGAGGTGCCACTTAGATGCAATTTCCTACACCAAGGTGCAATTTTGTTCTGCTTATTCAATTCAGGGTCAACTTATCCAGTTGTCATAGGGCAAAAAGCAGAGGGTAGTCCATACAGGCTGTCATCTTGCTATAGAGCAAACACTCAATGAAGAATTGTTAATTAACATAACTTTATGTGTGGAGAAAGACTGCAGAGGGAGGCCGTGCAGACATAGGAAAAACATGTAAAAGCCATACAAACAGACTCAGCCAGGATTTGAACCCAGGACCCAAGTGCTACACACCATGAGAATTATTGGGGTTTCGAGGGTTTCGATATCTTACGCATGTGAAAACGAAAAACTCTGAAACTATCATTTTAGGTTGTGTGTGGTTGGTGTGGATGGTTAAAAATCACAGGATCTTCCATAAAACCATTTTTTCACTTCCATTTTCAATATCACTAAAATAGTTATGCACTGATGTAAATTTTTCTTCTGTCAGGTTTCATTGGTGATCAAGCTAGGATTTTTATTTTTAACTCTGCCAAAAGCAAAAACTACAATATGCAAGTTTTTGATACAATTAACAAAGACACACCTTTATACACAGGTAACACAGGTAATCATGAAGCCATTGTTGTACACTACACAACTATATAAATGACAGATCAATCAAAATCATTGATTTGCAGTGACTTAATACATTAATTCTTATAATATATATTAATATATTTTCTTTAGCTGTTGAGTAGTCCTTTATATTTAGGCATGTCATGTGCAGATGCCTTATGAGAAGCTGCTTCTGTCTTTGCTGAAACCCACAGAACAAAACCCACTGTGAGACCAGCCATTTTCATGTCTTACGTCTGAGAAACAGGATATAAAACAATCACATGCTGACACGACACCTTCTAAGGGCACATCTGAAAAAAAAAATCATGATCTAAGCAGTTGGTGCAAGTAGGATTTTTTTTTTGCCATCTACCCTTTTTGTACAGACCAAATGACCCACAGTGCTTTCATTAAAATGTCAATCTGTTGAATCAAGTTTTACTTTCTCTTTCCCAGCTGCTAAACCTCAACTATATCTTGTTCACACTATCTTTTGCTTCTTTTTTATGCCACTACACCCCATTAATCTACAACACTGAAACCACAGACAAGTTCAGTGAGTTACTTAGATACCTGGAATAACATCATAACGTTATATAACGGGATTCATGTGGATGGTACTTTGACACCTACCAATTATGTTAACACTGCAGACTATGCACAAGGCATTGCTAATAGGGAAACAGCCAAGCATACAAGAGGTTTCTGCCTTACTAGAGCGCAAAACAGGTTGATGAAACACAAAGAGCCCAAGGTGTTCACCCACCCCCCAAGCTCTGCAGAAA